TCCTAATGCAATTAATCTTTTTATTTCCTGACTGCTGAGTATTTATTGTGGCTGAGCAAGCTGAAACTAGTAACAACCTCAATCACTTCTCCATCTGTCATGGTGCTGCCAATTGGCCCAGTGGTGAGAATCTTTGTCTCCTTGATGTTGAGCTTCAATCTATATTGAAGATTACTTGCCTTGATCTTCTGTAGCAAACACTTCAGGTCCTCCTCAGTTTCTGCATGCAAGATTGTGTCATCTTTGTATCACAAGTTGTTGAATATTCCTTCAAGCCTAATGCCACATTCCTCTTCATAGACTTTAGCCTCTTGAATGATCTATAGATTGCATATAGATTGAAAAGTTATGGAGACTGGATGCTTCCCTGACACACTTTTCCCCCAAATTTGAACCGTGCAGTGTTTCCTTGCTCTGTTCTGAGGATTGCTTCCTGGTCAAGTACAGGTTTTGGTTGAGTCAAGCGTTTTGGTATTCCCATTCTTCTCAGTGTTAGCCTCACACAGTCATATGCCTTTGCATAGTCTATGAACCACAGATACACATTCCTCTGGTACTCTTTTGTTTTTGGTCAAAATCCTTCTTACATTACGATAATCACTTTAGTGCCATGACCTCTTCTAAACCCAGCTTGTATTTCTGGTAGTTCTCTGTTGATGTACTTAATGTACCAGTTGTTTTGGGATAATCTTCAACAAGATTTTGCTTGCGTGTAATATTAGTGATATTGTTGGATAATTTCCACATTCTTTCAGGTCACCTTTTTTTTGGAATGTGCATAAATACGCATCTCTTCCATTCTGTTGGCCAAATAGTTGTCTTCCAGATTTCTTGGCACAACCTGGTGAGCACGTCTAGGGCAGCATCTGTTGAAATATGTCAGTTGGTATTCCATCCATTCCTGTGGCCTTGTTTTTGTTAATTTTTTTTTTTTTGTAAACAACCAACATAAATAAGATCACCTTAGTTTTTCCAGGTAAATTATCTGAGCATATTTAAGTATTAGCATGTAAAGTGCTATCTTGGTGAGCTCTGATGGCCTAGTGGCAAGAAGCTGCACTGCAATCCCAGAGATGTGCAGTTTGAATCCACTGGATCCTCTGCTGGAGAAGGAGGGACAAACTCCTCCTGTACCAATCAGATCTGATTTGATGGTACACAAACACACACAAAATAATAAAGTAAAAAAAAAATATAAATAAATAAAGTGCTATCTTATTTTGTTAAGTGACTACATAATCTTTTATATGTAGAATTAAACAAAATAATTTTAAGTCCTTCCAGTAGTATCATTGTATAATAATTTATTGTAAAGAGAGTAAAAGTAGTTATATCTCTGGAAACATAATTAGAAGAGATCATGTTTAACATCAAAGTTCCCTTAGCATTTTCTTTATATGAATCTTGCTTTTACTTTATTAAAGGCCTCATTTGTACAGTCACTTCAGCATGATTTTGTCCCACAACAGATTCATAGCATACAGGTTGAATTCAACTCAAGTTTTCATCCGTTTTGAGAATGTGACTGGATTATTTTTTAATATGAAAATTTCCTGAGTATTAGAGCTTCCAGCTCAAAGGCTTGAATCTTCCAACTGCTCACCAGGAGGAAGATGGACAGCCTCCTCCTGTGCGACTTACAGCCTCTGAAAACCCATAGGAGGTCAGCTGTGAGTCTTTCTGACTTGACAGCATATAATGACACCAACATTAAAGCTGTTGAACAACATGAGAGAGAGAGAGAGAGATTGATTTGGGAGAAAAGAATTGTTCAAGAGGTAAAAAACCTGTCTAATGGCCATCTATTGAAAGGGAAGGTGGAATAGCTAGAGAAAATGTTACAGTCCCAGGTTGAGTACGATTCAGTATTAGTTAATCCTCTCATTGCTTTTTCCCTTAATGAAATGACTAATAGGGCTAAGTTGGCAGTCACTTGAATTAAAATACTGTGAGTTAATGTTGCTATATTAATTTCAAACTGTTACCACTAGCACTTTGGGTTGCCATTAATTTCCCCTTTGGTAGTATCCACATCCATATTCCCATTCCAAAGAAAATTTGATTCCTCCAGAGTGTGGAAATTATCAAAGAATATCATTAATAGCACTTGCAAGCAAGATCCTGCTGAAAATGATCTCAAAATGACTGTCACAGCACAGGAACAGAACTGCCAGATGTGCAGGCTGGTTTTAGAAGAGGCCATTCACTAGGGACATCATAGTCATTATTAGATGCATCATAGTTTAAAGCAAAGAGTACCAGAGGGATGTCTATTTGTGTTTCATTGACTATGCAGAGGCATTTGACTTTGTGAATTACAACCAATTGTGGTTAACTTTGAGAAGGATGAGAATCCCAGAGCATTTGATTGTACTAATGCAAACTTATGCTTGGACCAGGAAGTAGTCATCACAACAGAGCAAAGAAACATTGAATGGTTCAAAATCTGGAAAGATGTATCACAAGAATGCATTCTATCTTTATACCTTTTCAGCCTATATGTAAAACAGTTTATTTGGGAAGCTGGGCTCTTTGAGGAGGAATTAGCATCAGGATTGGAGGAAGAATCATCAACAATCTGCATTCTGTAGATGATACAACCTTGCTTGCTGAAACTGAGCAGGACTTGAGACATTTGCTGGTATAGGTCAAGAACTGCAGCCTTCAGTGTGGATTGAAGCTCAACATCAAGAAAACAAAGATTTCTCACCACTGGGCTAATTGGTAGCATCACGATAGATGAAGACATTGAGATTGTTATCAGTTTCAGCTTGCTTGGCTCCACAATCAACACTCCAGCAGCCAGAAAATCAAAAGTCTAATTGCATTGGGAAAATCTGCTGTCAGGGATTTCTCTAGAGTAATGAAGAGCAACGATGTCAGTCTAGAGACTAAGGCGCACCTTATCCAAGCCATGGTCTTCACAGTTACTTGCTAGGCATCAGAGAGCTGGACATTGACTAAGGATGATAGAAGAATGGATACCTTTAAGTTGTGGTGCTGGAGAAAAGTATTGGACTGCTAACAAAACTAACAGGTCTGTCCTGGAAAGGATGAAATAAGGTTGCTCTTTGGAGATAAGGATTTTAAAGCTTCACTTTGGGCATGTTGCCAGGATGGACCAGGCCTTGGAGAAGGACATTAGGCTTGAAAGAGTGGAGGGACAATGCAGGACAACCCTGGATGAGATGAATTGACTGAGTGCCTGGAATAGTGGTAGTAGGTGTGTTGGAGACAATGGAATTGGCTCAAAATAGAGCAGGGTTCAGAGCTGTTGTGCTTAGGGTCACTATGAATTGACTATGAGTCAGCTTGATGGCATACAACAACAGTATCCACATGACATGACTGTTTCTTGCAAGGGTGCACAGTGCTATAGTGTTTTGTAGAATGTTTATTTACAAGTTAAATTTATAGACAATTTGTTACATTAGGTCTGAGGATTAATTATTTCCTTCTCCTAAGGGGATCTCAGCCCGATGGACTATGCCTACATTCCCAATTGTTAAAGACAATTTTTCCTACAAGTTGCCTCCTGATTACAGAGTGAGGCAACATTCTGTAATCTCGCTACCGAGCGTGCCACCTTACTACATTGATTTACTCCCCTCACTGGCTTAGAAATATCTGGCGGCATTGTTGTTAAGGTATTTGACTATTAACCAAAAGGCTGGTAGTTCAGACCAGCCGTTCTTCAGGAGAAAGGTAAGTCTGTTTCTGTAAGGATTTAGTGTCTTAGAAATGCTTTGGCCAGTTTATAGGAACACTGTGAGCCCGAATAGACTCGGAGACATTGGGTTTGGCTTGGTGAGTGTGTTTGCATACATAATAACTTTTGTGTGTGTATATTCTCTTGTCTTATTGTTGCAGGGTTTCTGAATGACAAGTTGTTCAGTGCCTTGAAAATAGTAGAAATTCTGTGAACACTGACTGCTGACCATGCTCATTCTCTCTCTTTCTTCCCCCTCTCACTCTCTTTTGCTCACTCCCGTTTTCTGTCTCATTGCTGTCGAGTTGGGACCAACCCGTAGCTGACACTTTGGTGAATTTGTAAGATGGTAAACTGTATGGGAACACATTGTCCATCCTTCTCTCTAATGGTCGCTGGTGTATTTGAACTATCAGAGAGGCTGTTGACAGTAATGGAGGAAGTTCTGTTTGATATCATGCTGCTGAATTTTAGTTGTGTGTTGGTTTTTTTTTGGTTGTAAGGTGACTTTTTTCGTTGTTGGGGGGCTTCTCATGTTGATGATTCAGAAATTAGTTCACTCTCAAACTTGTTGCTATAATTACTACCTTTAAATAATAATGCAGTGCTAAATGAGACAATAAACCTTTACATTGCATAGTAGGTGAACTTTTTATTCCCCCAAAGAGTTAGTCTTTTGAAGAGAATTTTTGCAAAGGGGTTAGAGTTAGAAGCTTATCATTATGAATGGCCATATTAAACTACTGTTGAGGTTTTCTTTCCTCTTAAATCAATTTTTGGAAACTCAGCACGCTTAGGATGTTAGTAGCATTAAGATTATGCTTCTGAGCATTTAATATACTTAAAAGTAAATGTAAGCCATGTATATTATTTACCTTTTTAAATAAATGCTGTATTTGCCTTGAGGATTGAAGAATAAGAATGTGGTTTGTTATATTGGAGTCTTTCATTTAATGTTAATTGTGATTCCTTAACATTAGTGAAAAATGAAAAAAAATATTGTTGATGTTAAACAGTAGTTCTAGACATAAAAGTTTATCAGACAGAAGAAAAGTCAAAAAAACAAACTTTTTTTCATATTCTATATTGATGAAAAATCCTTTTTTATTTCTAATTTTAACTGAAGTTTACAGGAAAGTTGGATTTTCATTTATTCATAAAATACTTTTTAAAATATAAGGGTTAAAAAGGGAGATTTTAGGAAAGAAAAAAAATATTTTTGGTTTGTTTAATCCCCTGAAGTAATTTTTCTTGTTTCATTTTTCTGTTTTAGGTTCCTGAGAGTTGAGCAATGGGGAAACATTTGGCCTTGCTTCTGCTCCTGCTCCTCCTCCTCCAGCATTTTGGAGACAGTGATGGAAGCCAAAGACATGAACAGACTTTTCTCCAGTTTACACATTTCCAGTACAATGTCACTGTGCATGAGAACTCTGCAGCCAAAACCTATGTTGGGCATCCTGTAAAGATGGGGATTTACATTACAAATCCATTGTGGGAATTAAGGTACAAAATCATCTCAGGAGACAATGAAAACTTGTTCAAAGCCGAGGAGTACGTTCTTGGAGACTTTTGTTTTCTAAGAATAAGGACCAAAGGAGGAAACACAGCTATTCTTAATAGAGAAGTAAAAGACCATTACACATTGATAGTGAAAGCAGTCGAAAAAAATACTAATGCTGAAGCACGAACAAAGGTCAGAGTGCAGGTGCTCGATACAAATGACTTAAGACCATTGTTCTCACCAACCTCGTACAGTGTTTCTTTACCTGAAAACACAGCCATAAGGACCAGTATTGCAAGAGTCAGTGCCACAGATGCAGACATAGGAACCAATGGAGAGTTTTACTACAGTTTTAAAGACCGAACAGATATGTTTGCTATTCACCCAACTAGTGGTGCCGTCGTTTTAACTGGTAGGCTTGATTATACAGAGACCAAGCTCTATGAGATGGAGATTCTTGCTGTGGACCGTGGAATGAAATTATATGGTAGCAGTGGGATCAGCAGCATGGCCAAGTTAACAGTTCATGTCGAACAGGCCAATGAATGTGCTCCTGTGATAGCTGCAGTGACACTGTCACCATCAGAACTAGACCAAGACCCAACATATGCGATCATAACAGTGGAGGACTGTGATCAGGGTGCTAATGGGGAAATAGCTTCTTTAAGCATTGTGGCAGGCGACTCTCTTCAGCAGTTTAGGACTGTTAGATCTTCTCCAGGGAGTAAAGAATATAAAATCAAAGCAATTGGTACCATTGATTGGGACACCCATTCTTTTGGCTATAATTTGACACTTCAAGCTAAAGATAAAGGAACTCCTCCCCAATTCTCGTCTGTGAAAGTCATTCATGTGACTTCACCACGTTTCAAAGCTGGGCCAGTCAAGTTTGAAAGGGATATTTACCGAGCCGAGATCAGTGAATTTGCACCTCCCAACACACCTGTAATCATGGTAAAAGCCACACCTAATTATTCCCACTTGAGGTATGTTTTTAAAAGTACACCTGGAAAAGCCAGATTCAGTCTAAATCACAACACTGGCCTCATTTCCATTTTAGAACCGATTAAAAGACAGCAGACATCCCTTTTGGAACTGGAAGTAACAACAAGTGACAGAAGAGCCTCTACCAAAGTCATGGTGAAAGTCTTAGGTGCAAATAGTAACTCCCCTGAATTTACCCAGGTAGCGTACAAAGCATCTTTTGATGAGAATGCACCAGTTGGTACAAGTGTCATGAGTGTGAGTGCTGTAGACCCTGATGAGGGTGAGAATGGATATGTGACTTACAGTATTGCAAATTTAAATCATGTGCCATTTGAGATTGACCATTTCACTGGTGTGGTGAGCACTTCAGAAAACCTGGACTATGAACTTATGCCTCGGGTATATACTTTAAGGATTCGTGCATCAGACTGGGGTTCACCCTATCGCAGGGAAGTGGAAGTTCTGGCTACAGTTACTCTCAATAACTTGAATGACAACACACCATTATTTGAAAAAATAAATTGTGAAGGAACAATTCCTAGGGATTTAGGTGTGGGAGAGCAAATAACTACCGTGTCTGCTATTGATGCGGATGAACTCCAGTTGGTACGATACCAGATTGAAACTGGAAATGAACTAGGTTTGTTTAGCTTAAATCCCAGCTCTGGAGTACTGTCATTAACACAATCACTGATGGATGGCTTAGGTGCAAAGGTGTCTTTTCACAGTCTGAGAATTACAGCTACTGATGGAGAAAATTTTGCCACACCATTATATATCAACATAACTGTGGCTGCCAGTCGCAAGCCAGTGAACCTGCAGTGTGAAGAGACTGGTGTTGCCAAAATTCTAGCAGAGAAACTTCTACAGGCAAATAAATTACACAATCAAGGAGAAGTTGAGGATATTTCCTTTGATTCCTACTCTGTTAATACTCATGCACCACAGTTTAGAAATATTCTTCCAACTAGTATTGAGATCAAAGAAAACCATCCTGTGGGTTCTAACATCATTTTCATGAATGCTACTGACCTTGACTCTGGTTTTAATGGTAAACTAGTCTATGCTCTTTCTGGAGGAAATGAAGATAGTTGCTTCATTATTGATATGGAAACAGGAATGTTAAAAATTTTATCCCCACTTGACCGTGAAACAACAGATAAATACACCCTCAATGTTACTGTGTATGACCTTGGCATACCACAGAAGGCTGCTTGGCGGCTTCTTGATGTCACTGTACTGGATGCCAATGATAATCCACCTGAGTTTTTACAGGAGAGCTATTTTGTTGAAGTAAGTGAAGACAAGGAGATAAATAGTGAAATCATCCAGGTTGAAGCTATAGATAAAGATCAAGGACCTAATGGACAAGTGACATACTCTGTTCTTACAGACACAGACAAGTTTTCAATTGATAGCATGACTGGGGTTGTTAGAATCGTGCGCCCTTTGGATCGTGAAGTACAGCAGGTGCATTATTTAAAGATTGAAGCCAGGGACCAAGCTGAAGAAGAACCCCAGCTGCTTTCCACTGTACTTTTGAAAGTGTCACTAGAAGATGTTAATGACAACCCACCCAGGTTTATTCCATCTAATTACCGTGTGAAAGTTCGAGAAGACCTTCCAGAAGGAAGCATAATCATGTGGTTAGAGGCCTATGATCCTGATGTAGGACAGTCTAGTCAAGTGAGATACAGTCTTCTGGACCATGGAGAAGGAAACTTTGATGTTGACAAACTCAGTGGAGCCCTTAGAATTGTACAGCAATTAGACTTTGAGAAGAAGCAAGTGTATAATCTCACTGTCCGGGCCAAAGACAAAGGAAAACCAATTTCTCTATCTTCCACTTGCTATGTTGAAGTTGAAGTAATTGATGTGAATGAGAACTTACACCCACCAGTGTTTTCCAGCTTTGTGGAAAAGGGCTTTGTGAAAGAAGATGTGGCCATTGGTTCATCAGTAATGACAGTGTCAGCGAATGACCAGGACACAGGAAGAGATGGAGAGGTCCGATACTCCATTAGAGATGGCTCTGGCCTTGGTGTTTTCAGAATTGATGAAGAAACAGGTAAATAGATTTTTATTACTCTTCTGAGATAAACATCTGCCCTCGTTGACAGTTTCTTCACAGTTCCTATCTGTTGTATAAGTAGAAGTGCACATAATGTGATGTAGTTGACCAAGGAGATGGAACTGAGTGGACCTGAAAGTAAGAGAGCAGGGGTAAATTGCACCTGTTCTCTCTGATGTACTCTCCTGTTATGTACCCTGTGTACTTATCATAAATCATGTGGTTTTGTTGTAACTCTGAAAAGCCCTTCCAGATATTTCAAGTGTTTGACTATTTAGTGTGTTTGCAGATTCCTACTTAGAATAACTACCACCATCACATTGAGTGCCACCCCTTAGATAAATATACACTTGCAGAATTAGGCAGTGCATACCAGGAAGACTGTGCTAAAACTTATGTAACCTTTATTTACTACCTCATCCAGATCTGATTGAGAGGCACATGTGGAAAGTTGGATTGAGAAAACCTAGCTTGGAAACAGGCTGTCAATTGTTAATCGGGTGACTTTAAGACAAATTAATTATCTTCTTAAAACTTATTTTATTCTTCCTTAAAATGGAAAGACAACTTTCTTAAGATTTATGTGCAGATAAAGTGAAACAGCTTGATTTAAGTGAAAGAGCTTAGCATTTGTTGGGTCTATTTGTGCTCATTCAAAATACTGGAAATGCTCTTTAACCTAGAATAAGATCCTATAACCAGAGCCTTTAAGATAGTAATTCATGCTAGAGTCTGTTTTATTTTCCATTTTGTACATACCTTTTAGATGTTCTTCCTAGGCTTTGGAAAAGGAATGCTTGTGGTACAAAAGTTTAGTGCTGGACAGCTAACTGAAGGGGCCAACAGTTCTGAACTACCTGGGCTCCCTTGGAGAAAGTTACGGAAGTCTGTTTCCATAGAGATGTATTTATATTGGGAACCCTGTAGGGCAGTTCTACTCTTTCTTATAGGGAGCTCTGGTGGCTTAGTGGTAAGGAATTGCACTGCTAACCAAAAGGACAGGGTTTGACTCTACCAGCTGCTCTTTAGGAGGAAAATGAGCATCTCCTTTGCAAATAAACTGCCTCAGAAAATCGTTCCTCTGGAAGGTCAGCTGTGAGTTGGTTCTGACTAAACAGTACATAACAACAGGTGTGTCTTAAGGGGTCACTGAGTCAGAATTGATTTGATAGCAATGAGTGTGTTGGTTGTATGTAAGTCTAGCTCATTCATTTTTAGTCCTTAATCAGCACTTAGCAAAATATGCCTGCACCACAGAAGTGGATTCATAAATGGTAAAAGAACAAATAAGGAAATTAGTATTTTACCTACATCTTGGCTTCTGAGAATGGTGTTGTTGTTGTTGTTGTTATGTGCCGTCGAGTCGCTTGCGACTCATAGTGACCCTGTGTACAACAGCCCTAAACTCTGCTCTGTCCTGTGCCAATCTCACTGTTTCTGACACAGGCAGTCGTCAGAACAGAGCAAGGGAACACTGCATGGTTCAAAATTGGGAAGGGCGTACGCCAGGAATGCATCCTATCTCCATACCTTTACAACCTATATGCAGAACAGATTATCCGGGAGGCTGGGCTCTAGGAGGAGAAATGTGGGGTCAAGATTGGTGGACGATTTATCAACAATCTGCGTTATGCAGATGACACAACTCTGCTTGCTGAAACTGAAGAGGACCTGAAGCGCCTGCTGCAGAGTGTCAAGGACTGCAGCCTACAATATGGATTGAGGCTCAATGTCAAGAAGACAAAGATTCTCACCACTGGACCAATTGGCAGCATCAGGATGGATGGTGAAGAGATTGAGATTGTACACAGCTTTAGTTTGCTTGGCTCCACAGTCAACAGTCTTGGCACCAGCAGCCAGGAAATTAAAAGGCGCATTGCCATGGGAAAGTCTGCTGTTAGGGACCTCTCCAAAGTGCTGAAGAGCAATGGTGTCTCTCGGGAGACTAAGGTGTGTTTGATACAGGCCATGGTCTTCGCAATCACTTGTTATGCATCAGAGAGTTGGACAATGACCAAGGAGGATAGAAGGAGAATTGATGCCTTTGAGCTGTGGTGCTGGAGAAGAGTATTGAGAATACCATGGAATGCTAGGAAAGCAGATTTGTCCTGAAAAGGGTTAAACCGGGTGGCTGGTTGGAGACAAGGATTCTGAGGCTCTGTCTAACATAATTTGGACATGTTGTGAGGAAAGACAGGTCCTTGGAGAAGGACATCATGCTTGGGAGGGTGGAGGGACGGTGTAGGAGGGGAAGGCCCTCTATGAGGTGGATTGATTCAGTGAGGGACAGGTCCTTGGAGAAGGACATCATGCTTGGGAGGGTGGAGGGACGGTGTAGGAGGGGAAGGCCCTCTATGAGGTGGATTGATTCAGTGAGGTGATTCTGAGAATGATAGTTCAAAAAAAAAAAGAAATTGAACAATAATAAACTGGTCATGGTTAGGGCTCAGTTTATTTATTAATCTTACTCTGTTTATCTACAATCTAATAAAGACACTTTTTTGAAAACATTATGACTTTTTATGTCAACTATAGCACAGGTCATTGGAATAGATAACACCCATCTCAAGGTGTACTTGCACATTTGGTGGTTGCAATCATCACTACTAGTTGCTGTTAGTAATTTCTTTTTTTCATATTAAATTTTATTAATTTTAATGAACATTTACAGATATTTTGCGTTTTCATTCATTCATTGTTGCACTTTTTCTCTTCCCTCCTCCCCAGTTTGTTCTTTTTTTCCCCTTTGAAAGTCTGTTTTAATTGTCCAATTGCCACAGTACTTGTCAAAGCCAGTTCTGATTAATCTCCTTTGTCAGTGTGTCCTTTGCCATTCCCTATCACTTCTCCCTGAGAGAGACTTCACCCTGATTCATAAGGAAAAGGGGACAGCGTATTCTCTTAGCTACTTCCTGCTGAAAAGGGACACTGTAGGTTTCAGGGTGAAGATCTTCTCTCACAACTCTAAAGGGCCCCTTTGACAATAGGAAACACGTAGACTGTTAGGGAGATTGATTTTGGAATTTAGATGCAGTGTTTCTATTGTGCTTAGCATTTTCTCTTAGCTAATTCCTGCTGAAAAGGGACACTGTAGGTTTCAGTGTGAAGATCTTCTCTAACTACTCTAAAGGGCCCCTTTGGCAATAGGAAACACATAGACTATTACGGAGATTGATTTTGGAATTTAGATGCACTGTTATCAATTGTGCTTAGCCGTACATGTTCATATCCTTGAAGATGTATCATGCAAGTG